AGCTGCCTCCTCAGCGCTGAGGTCATCGCCTGCTGACGTCAGTGCTGGGAACCCGAGCCGGGTTTGCGAGCCCAGGGAGGCGGGAGGAGAAGGGGGAGCCAGGAAGGGACCCAAGGCTGTCTGCAAAGGAGAGCGGCGCTGCAGGCTGGGAATGCCCCGACTTCTTCTCTCCGCCCATCCTCCAGACGGGTGAAAGGCCACCTCCTCCAAGAAGCCTTCACAGACAGCCCCTCTCCCAGGCGGTCTCCTTTTCTCCACATTTTCAGCCACATACAGTCAGAACCACTCACCCAGACGCTTTCTCACCATTTTACCCCGTTGTCGTGTTTCTTAACTAGTCGGCATGGGCTCCTCTTGGCCCTCTGGAAATGGGGACTAAATCTATTTACTTCCACAGCAATACCAACTTCCCCAACAGGTTCCACTCTTCTCCCACAGCAGTGCTCTTTCTTTTGCCTAGAAACACCCGAGTCTCACCTAGTATTGGGTGGGTCGGGGTGGAGGAGATGTTGCATGAATTTTCCGTCTCCCTCTTCTACACCCGGGACCCTGCTCAGGACCTGGCACCATCACAGGCACGCCTAGAGCTCTGCTGAGTGGGGATAACCAGTAACTCAGGGTCCAGCATACATAGGTGACCCCTATATATATGTTACATGAGTCAAACCCAGTAATCTCTGTAAATTCTTACCCTGAACTCTGGCCCCCACTGAACACCTTTTTCTGGCAGTCTCCCCTCCTTTTCCTTGACCCCAGGCTTTTCTGCCTCCTTCGCTGGCTGTGTCTGCCCTGGATCCCTCCCCGTCCCCTTTCCTTCACTATGTCCACTCACTCCCCTTCCCTTTTCTCTCCACTTTTCTTTCCTCAGATCCTGTCCGTGTTGTCCATTGTGGTGTTTACTTTTTTACAGTTGACTTTCCTGTCTACAGTCTGCCCACGTGTCTCTCATCCTGCCCCTCCTACCACTGGCCCTGTCTCTCCTCCTGGATGTGCAGCCACCACCTCAATGGCAGTCTAAGCCCACTGTCTTCTCTACGGCCAGGTCCCTTCCTGATCTCCATTTCTGTCAGAGATGCCATCATTTCCCTCATCACTCCACCCAGAAAACTCAGACTCGCTTTTGGCTTCACCTTGTACTTTGCTCCTCAGATCCAAGCACAAGACCTGTTGCTTCTTCATAACTAAATGATTGTCGTGGACTCTGTCAAACCCCATCCCCAAATCACCTTTCCCACTGTTAGTAGACTTCCCTTCCTATAGTTCTGCATTCACTTGCTCTTCTTCCACTCAGATCATTCTGAGACACCCTCCATTTGTCCACTGCATTAAGCCTAGACTCCTTCACTTAACAGTTAAGAACTTTCATAATTTGGCCCTACCTACCTTTTTAGGTTTCTGCCACTTTGTGCTCCAAGGTCACTCTCCTCACTGTTCTCTAAGCATCAGAGCAGAGCCCTAAGCATTTTGCCCATGATCCCTATCCCTGCCCTGTTACATGGTCCCCATTCCACGTATGCCTGAATGTGCCTGGTCCAGCTGCACCGTACCTCATATCATTATCTCCTGGATACCTCACTGCCTCCTTCCCATCTTTCCCAATTCCTCACACTCCTGAAGGCACAGCTTAAGCTTGGTCCTCCACCTTGAACACCTGTGCTAACCACTCTCTCACTACAGAATTAATGCTATCTATACCATTCACCCGACATTTATAATCTGTTGTTTGGTATTGTTAGTGACCTTTTTAGGAGTTGACATCTTGTCTCAACAACAGTTTACATGCTGCTTGAAAACAGGTTACTATACTTTTATGTCCTCCATTTCCAGGGCTGTTCAGATTTCAAATATTCTGCTCCATTGCTTCATATTGCTCACCAAAATGCCCTGGAATTCTAGTATTTTGGCACTGAACATGTCTCTTAGGTGGCTACTTCACTGGCTCCTCTCCAAAGTTGGATCAGGCCAGATAAGACTCTTACCTCTGCTCATTGAGTGGGAACCAGTGTATTATAGGAAACAAGGTTGGGACTGTAAACAAGATAACCTTTAGTACATTGAACAAAGAGATCAGGTGTCAGCAAGACCAGAACGGACCAAGGTCAACTGCCAGGGAGGTCAGGAAACTGGTCAGGAAACCTAAATCTTAAAATACTTAACATCTTCCTGGGTTTGGTGTTCCCAGCTTTGCTTTAGTCCATAATTGATGAAAAAAGTCTGGTGACAGACCATCACCTGTTTTTGCCTTGGGAAACAGAACTCTGTCTTTATGTAGGTTTTTGTATCACTCACCAACCAGGTCACACAGCTAGTTCTCAATAGAGCCATAACTGGCACTGGATCTGCTGACGTCTAATGTCTTCATTAGACCATGGAGTCCCTGTGCTATTGTTACAATAGCCCCTGATCGTGCCTGGTCCCACAGAGATGTTGACCTACATGATGATGCAATGAACTGGGAGGAAACAGTCTACATTCTGGGGACAGGAGCAAGGAGGTCTTATCCCCCCCACTCCCCTGTTACCCGGGGAGTGTCTTAATTTCATTATTGGTGATTAGTTCCTGAGCTTAGTACAGGGCACTGATAATCAATGAGAACCAGAAAGCACTTAAATCACTCTGTTTTCGGGGGGGTTAATTAGGTTTATTTACTGAAATGGAGGTACTGGGGATTGAACCCAGGACCTCATGCATGCTAAGCACACGTCCTGTTGCTGAGCTATCCCCTCCCCCTCAACCACTTTGTCATCCTCTTTTCTTTCTACATACAAGCCTAGGGAGAGGAAGTTTAATTTACCCAACATTCGAAGTTTCCAAGTCACTCTACGGTGTAGTTGTACCCAACTCAGGATTTCGATTCTCAATTAGTTTCTTTTAAAGCCAAATACATTTGACCTTAGAATAATCCAAATTACTTTAGAAATTTTCTGAAACTGCCATTAAACAGCTAGGATCCAGTTCCTCAGAAGCTCAAAAGTCCAGATTTCACTTCTTCTTCCCCCCTTTGCATGCTGCCTGCTGCCTCCCTTTCCTTGGCATAGCCAAGGTGTAGTTTGAGCATCAGGGTAGGAACAGTGAGTACCTCTCTCCCTCTTCTCTTCTTCCTCCTGACTTATCTCTACCCCTCCCCCACCCAAGGGCCTTGAGTTGAATTTTGAACATTAAATGCCCTCACACACTGTGCTGGCCTGTGACTCCACCTACTGCCAAGTGGGCAGGTAGGGGAGGGGTGGAGGTGGATGCCAGTTTATGCCCCAACTGGACCAGAAACTTCTTCTGTGCCCTGTGACCCCACCCAATGGCTCCTCTGGTCCTGCATGCCCACCTCACCCACTTGCATAGCCTACCTGTGTGGGCCCACTAGAGTGACCCACAGCATCCCTGACTGCCCTCCTCAGACCAAATCCCCATGCAGAACCCATACAGAATCCCCAGTCAGGTTCCAGCCCTGGCCCGGTCTGTGGGGTCATCACACCCACCTTGTTCTCCATTCCCCAGCCAGGAGCAGCCAGATCACGTATGTGATGTCTTTCTCAGCATCCTGTTTGCCCACAGAGCCTTGGCATGGTTGTCAAGGTTACCTCCCCATATCGGAGCACATGTAGAAAACTGAGGTTGAGGAAATCCAACTGGCAGGCAGAGGAAGATGACAGCAGCTCACCCCTCCACTGCCCAGTACGTAGTTTCAGCAGGTCTGTGTGAGCGCCCATGTGTCTATGTGTGTGTGTATCCGTATTTATTCTGTTTATAGTGAGTGTACATACTTAAATGCGCACGATATTTGTGGACAGGAGGGAGTATGGATATGTGTTTGCAGGTGTTAACATGTACTTATAATAGTACATACTAAAGCACATCATGTTATGAAGTGTGAGTGTTTCGGTGAAGCATGTATTTTGGCAGGAAGAGCACATTTTAGCAGGCGCATCTGAGTGTGGCTGGAATAAATGCTAGTTTGATCTTTTCTTGTTTCAGGCCTCATTGGTGACAGCCTTGCTCTGCTGCTCAGAGCCAATCAACACCATCACCCAGTGGGGGACAGATGCCTCTTCCTTCCTAACTTTCTGATCAGAGGGGCAATGCTGCTAAATATAGTCACAATTCTTTGCAATCACCACTGGGTAATGTCCAAGACATCTTTCAGAGTTCCCTGTCATCTTCTCACAAAGTTGTATCCTTCAAGATCACCTCTAGGCCAGCTAGTCTGGGAGTTATTTTTTAGAATCAGGAACAGGAATCAAGGACAGAAAAAAGATGATGTTGTCCTTAGAACCTGCTAACGAAGACTGTAAGGAAGAAGGGGATATTAGCTTTTTTAAAAGTTTCTCAGTGGGAGAGCACATGATTAGCATGCACAAGGTCCTAGATTCCATCCCTAGTACCTCCATTAAAATAAATAAATTAAATAAAAACCTAATTACCTCCCCCACCCCACCCCGCAAAGACTGGTTAAAAAGGTTTTTTTTAAGTTTCTGACTTTAAACCCCTCCTTGTCCCCCAAAGCAAACTGAGAACACGGACAGAAATAGATAATGCAAAGATGATTAGGGTTAAGTGGAAAACTACCCATCTGGACTAAAGGAAGGCTTGGTTAAAATATAAATATGGAAATGGGTTTTTAATCCCCAGGTCACAGCAATTTCCAAGTCCCTAAGGACCATTTCTGAGAACAAACAGAGGGCTGGAGAAGACTCAGAAAACTGTATAGTCACCCATTCCTTAGAGGGAGCACAGGGGATTTTTAGGACGATGAAATTATTCTGTTTGATACCATAGTGGTGACTACACGTCATTATGCATTTGTCAAAACCCATAGAATGTA